AAGGTGGTTAAATAGTTGGAAGAGTGTATCAAGGGAATTGAGTGAAGAGGTGGTAGGCAATGCTATGGAGGTCTCAGTGTGGTCAAATGATTACATATGGGCTCTAAGTGGAAAGATAGGAAGTGGCAGTCATGGGGAGGAGAGAGCATGGATTGAGATTACATAGGGATAGCAATTATTGATAATGGCAAGGTCTAAGATATGCTCATAAGAGTGAGCACCATGGGTAGGATGGAAACAAGATCATTGGGAGAGAGGTGGTCATGAAACTGAAAGGCCAGCACGTTTGAAAGATAAATAATGATCCAGGGTTGGCTAGATGACAACAACAATGATGGCTAGTAGGAGACATAATCTAATGATTTGTTTACATCAGTAAGTAAAGGAAATCAGAGTAATGTTGAACTGAATTCTTTTTCATGAAAGACCGTAACCTCTTCCAGTAGTATCTCTGTCAGACAGTGGATGCAATTCTTATATCCTCATGTTCTTAGTATTTTCCCAACTGTGGCTCAGAGGTCTGTGCTGGTTATTGTTCTCCTTGCATTTCTAGTCTCTGTATGTTCCACTCTTAGTTGAGTATTCATGGTGAAGAGAATTGAACTCAGTGTAATTAGGTGAAAAGCATCAGAAAAAAAAATCTGTGACAGCCTTCAGGGTAATAGTAATGGAATTTTTAACTTGAAAATTACTTGTGAATAGACTTCACAGTCTTCATAGTCACATGCAAATTATATGCTAATATAACTTTAGCTCAGCAAACCATTTTACACAATTAGTTGAGACGTTTGATATTGTGCCTACTTGCCCTATAAGTATATCTCACTATTTGTCATAAATGAATACTTGAAATATATGTGTAAATAGAATTTTGGTAATACATATCATATTTTCTCAATGATTTGCATAATAATATCAAAAATGCTTCATCTTCACTTTAAATTAATCCTAATTGGGAGTGATAACAGTTTTCCTTCCTAAGTATTTCTATCAAGTAGTTAAATCAGTATTAAAATGCACCAGAAGTTATTTTCAAAAACCCAGCAATTAATCATTTTAATGAGAGAAATCAGTCTTAAAAAGGAAAAGTCATTCTTGAGCCATGTAATTTTAAGTCAGAAAGGACAAGAGAGATTACTAGTGCAACTCTGTCCCATGAGAAAATTTTGAGCCCCAGAACAGAAAAATTAAATACTTTGCCTCATTATCACACATTTAGCTATAGTTGCTGATATGGATAGACAAGGATTCCAGATCTCGAGTGTATTTTCCACTGTGTTATGCTGGTATCTCATTTATATATTGTATATCTACATTTTTTCCATCTTGAATTGTCTTTATATGTCATGTACCAGTTAATACAAGTGAGGGCTATTTGTGAAGGTCTCATAAGTGCGACTAAAAGAAAATATCTTCCTAAAACTGTACACCTGGTTACTTTCTGTTAAATGGAGTCACGTTCAAAGCTCATCACAGCCACATTAGTGTATTTGATCCCACAAGACTTTTCATTGAATCTGGATCTCACTCTGAGGCTTTATATTAGTTTAGCTAAAAGAGCAGATAAGTTGAAGTTTTAGAAAACTTTTTAGGTGCCTCGTCTGTCACTTAATTGTTGTACAGCCTTGAACAAATCACTTAAGTCTCCAAAGGGTCTTAATTTTCTCTACCATAAAATGGAGCTAATGACTCTATTCACCTGACAAGACTATTGTAATGATCAAATGTGACAGAGATGCAAAACCTTTTTTGAGTATTTACTATGTTAGACACTTTACCAGTAGATAAAATTAAAATCAAGTAGTTTTGTTACCAAAAAATACCCAAGAGTTTATTATCTATGTGTAAATGTTTCATTTATCGACATATATATAATATTCTTTGTAATTTATATTTTCACAAATAAAATCTTGTCTTTTGTTACCCAAGCTTTTTTGTTGTTGTTCCGTTTACATTTATTCTTTGATCATATTGAGACTTGTAAGTATTCCTTTGTTCAATGTTTGAGAAACTACAAGGTAATTAATTGGTATTTATTATCTGCTTGATTTATTTTCTAGATATACTGCATTTATATCTACACCTAGATATACTATAGCAGATTTTTTTTATCTTTTTTTTTTTTAAGATTTATTTATTTCAGAAAGAGCACGAGCATGGGGAGGAGCAAAGAGAGAAGGACATAAAGTCCAACTTGGGGCTCGATCCCATGACCCTAAGATCATGACCTGAGCCAAAATCAAGAGTCCAAAGCTCAATGGACTGAGCCACCGAGGCGCACCCCCTTTTTTTTATCTTTCTTAATGAGACTGACAAAATTACTTTTCACAGAAAAACCAATGCCATTTGTTGATAGAAATTGAAGTTCTCTGATATAAATGTCTATCAGACCACCTGCTGAAAATTGGGTGGGGGAGATACTGATAGGTACAAAAGTCTCATTTCTTTCTGTCAGTTTTTTAAAAATGTTGAATTTGGTCATCAGAATATAGATTAGGGGCACATGGGTCGTTCAGTCAGTTAAGCATCTTACTCTTGATCTCAGCTCAGATCTTGATCTCAGGGTCATGAGTCTAAGCCCTGCGCTGGGCTTCACGTTGGGTGTGGAGCCTACTTAAAAAAAAAAAATATATATATATATATATAGATTTACATTTTGTGTCATTGGACCCCTTTTACCCATGTTTAATATTAATATAAAGAAATAAATTACTGTCAGAAGACATGGTGATATAAGCAAACATGGAACAATTTTTTCTGACTGAAAAAAATTTTAAATACTCAATATTTTAAAGGTAAAAATTAAAGTTCTAATAATTATTTTTACATTCTTTGTACTGTTATAGTTTTAAAGACAAATTGTGGAATCTCAAGTTAGATCATTTTACTATAATAGTTGTTGAAAATTAAGAAAATCAAGGTAGAATAGTATACATGATTTAAAATGTGCTGCCTTTAAAAAAATAATAAATAAAATAAAATGTGCTGCCTTTGGGACATGTTTTAAATACTTTGATAAACTAACCTTTGTTAAGTGCTTGGAAACAATAAGGAGGACAGGGTTATATTTGTAACTAGATTTCCTTCTGCCAATTCCTGATTTGTAAGTTACTATACTGCTAAACAGCAGCAAAAAAAAGCAATAGCCTCAAAATTAAAGGGGTTTAATTTTTTAAAAATTTTAGATGACAAGAGAAAAAATTTTTATCAATAAAAAATATTTTTGTAAGTATTGCTGGCAGGAACTGTATCTCATGGAGATTAACAATACTCAGTAGTAGTTTAATATCAATACCATATAAACTAGTTCAGTTTTAAATGCTATAATCCCATGTATCATAAATGAATATTATCAATTTATATACCTAAATATATATACCTAAGTTTTTCCCATTTAATTTTTTATCAAAGTGTTTATTGTCCTAGAAATCTAATTACTTTGGGGAAGTTTATTACTTGTAAAGTTCTAAGTGTTACTGGTGTCTGGATTATTTTATGTCAGTGTTAATTAAGGAAAGAGACTAAGATATATTGGCTTTATGTGTTTATTTTTGTTCTCATATCAAACCTTTCCACCACCTTTGAAGAGAATCTTAGCTCTACTATAGCTACCTTAACAGACTGGGAGAATACAAAATAAATAACTGATTGTATTGGTTGAGTAGTGGCAACAAAAAACTAAGAAGTAATTTACGTATGTGATGTCTAGTAATATACCTCAGATAGCAAATTTATTACCAGGCACTTAAGGCAAATGTTATTATTGAACAATTTGGGGCAGAAGGAAAAATGCTTAAGAAACTTTCTGTAATATATGAAATAATGTCTTGAGTAGATTCATTATTGATGGATTAGAATGAACTGGATATATTCTTGATCTACCCTCCTTTAACCCATACTGACATTCGTCAAATGGTTGGCTGAAATTCATTTCATAATCTGGGACCTTGGAGCAGATTTACCCCTTGTGCAAACCTAATTGACCCAGATAGGAATTGAACATGCTGCATTCAAACAGCAGTACTGTCTTCTGAAAGTTGAGCTTAGGATCAGAGTAAAGCAAACACTTTTGTATTTTTAAGGACACCCACAGCTTTTACAGCATTCGTCACTTAAACGTCTATGAAATAGCTTTGCACCAGAACCTCATTATCATGACAGTTAATGTTCAGCCATAGCACGCAGGTTGTGCATTATCAAGAATATTAAATTCAGTCAGTGTTAAACCAGATGTTCTTCACAGTTACTAAATTTTTTTGAAGTGTTTCATAACATTGTAAAAACAATTTTTAAGTCAGCTTTCCACCTAACGTGAGGCTTGAACTCACGACCCCAAGATCACAAGTCTCATGCTGTACCACTTGAACCTGCCAGGCTCCCCATTTTTGTAAAATATTTTAAAATAGTAACACTAATACTGATATTCATGTGAGAGATAATTTGTCTTCTTGAATTCATACATTTATTTTATTATTTTCGTTTTAAAAACAAAGTGAAAATTATAACCACTTGTCTTCATAGGCCTTAAAAGATCAAATTTTTTAATTACTATTATTTTAGCAGTTTGTTCTAAGAAAATTAAAACTTTTCTGATAGATGAGCTTAGGTGATTGAGACATTGATTCAGGTGTACTTGGCATAGCAGTTCATTAACTACATGTTAATTATCTATGATTACTCCAGAAAAGCTATATCATCTTTTAGGTTGCTTCATTAAATCATTAATTTTCTTGGAGGTAACTAAGCTTGACATAATTGAGCCATCTCAGTCTCCACAGATTTTTATCTTCCTATGATGTCAAGAACACTGAGCTAGTTAATATAAGGCGTTGTAACTTACTCCCTGGGTGTATTGACTGTATATTTTTAGATTATTTATACTATTTTGGTTCATTTTATGTTATATTTAATCTCATAAATTTCCTTAATGTTATAGCTTAGATTTTGAATTTTCTGTGTAATAAGCCCACTGATGTATTTGAACCACTTCTTACCAACAGTTCTTTGACCCATGGCTACAGAAGGCTGCTTCAGTTTATCCAGAAAGTCATATATGAGGAAGGATTTGATGGCTCCAATCCCCAGGTATTGAGCACCTTCAAAACCTTTTATAATCATGTATGTAATGTTGCTTTTAAACTCTCTAGAGGTAAACCCAGCGGTTTTAGAATCATCAACAGTGAACAAGCTGTTCCCAAGCTCAGAAGATGTCAATAAGCAGAGCACAGGCAGCCTTAGTTTAATTGTTAATGTGTATTTAAAGTTTTAGCTAAGTTCTCAGTGGATGCACAGAAGATGTATACACACATTGTTGACATAAATTATTTTTAAATATGTATTTATAGCACCTGGAATTAATAAATAGCCACATTTGGAAAATTACTCCTAAATCTGCAAGACTTATACTTTCTTATCTAAATTTTTTATATTTGTCATTCAGTCTTGAATTGAATTACCTTATGAGTAAGGATTAATTATTTTAAGATTTTATTTCTTATAACATCATGCTTTGATTTGTCTCATTGAATAAAAAATGCATTTTTATTTGCTGTCTTAAAATATTTTATAACTGAATTATTTCTCTGTAGTGTCTAAAAATGGAAATTTTTAAATTCCCACTATTAAAGATTCCAAATTCCTACTATTAAAGATGTTCCAGTTAGTTTAACTTAAACAAAATGAGAGAAATTTTATTTCTAGATATCATGCCTTTCAGAAGTCTTTCTCAGTGATTTTAATTGCTGTAGCTGCTAAAGATTTTCAGTTCATTATTATTATTTTAGCAGAATTATTTCCAAAGCACCATTATTTTTATTGAAGAAAGCAAAGTATCCAAAAGTCTTTTTTTTGGCATTATCAACTACATTTGCTCTTAATCCATAAATTTTAAGCATTCTTATAAACTTTACTGTTGTATTTAATGTTTTTTTCCACAGCAAGATAATTTTTAAATTTGTTTTGATCATCAGTTTAATAACAAGTTGAAAATACTTATGTGTGTGGTGGAGCATACACATTTATTTATAGATGGCTCTTCATGTATGCTACAGTTTTTGTGATGGGCCTTGGTTTTTATTACAATTTTATCTTGCTCATTGTTGCTCCATTTTTGGTCCTAGCTAAGATTTATGGGCACTGTGTCCGCCCTTTGGTGGCATTGCCCGTCAGGAGAGGTAAATTGGTCCCTGACAGACACCTCTCCCCACTCGCTGTGGTTACTATAGAAACAGGCATGTCATAACAGTTCCTATGATACAGTGTGCAGAGCTGCTGTTCTTGCAGAATGATGACACATCTTCTAAGAGCAGGAAATTTTATAAAATGCAAAGCAGCGAAGGCAATAACAAAAAGATATACACATACTTGCATATATATGTATATACACACATATATGTACACACATCTACAGACATCCGTCCAAAGGACCCTTGATCAGTAAGCTATTATTGGAATGGAATGAAATGTTTGTTTTCTTAGTTATTTATTTGAGTATGAAAAACACCACCATTTTCAATAAATAGTATTTTATTTCATGAAAGTTGATAAACAACAAACTGAACTGGTTTGTTTCTCTGAACCGGAGGTTCTACAACTATTGACTTACATAAAGATTAAACAGAGTTGAGGTAGATATTTATATGGTGAATACCAAGAATGCTGAAAAAAATTTACAACATGCCAATAAGTTATAAAATTCCAATTTTATTGGAACAAAAGCAAATTTTATGTTGTGTTTTTTTGTTACTATATTTCTATATTGTTATGTTACAGAATGTATCATTTGCTAAATTACCTCATCTATACATCTGTCTCAGAAACTTTAGATGAGTTCAAGAAGCCACAGAAATGCATCTATGAAGCACTACTTCAAAAAATATTATTCCTGAGTCAAAATAATGTTCTGATACTGAAATAAATCCTCCTTTAAAAAAAAAAAGATTTTTTATTTATTCATTTGAGAGACAGAGAGCACAAGCAGGGGGGAGAGGCAGAGGGAGAGGGAGAAGCAAGACTCCCTGCTGAGCTGGGAGCCTGACATGGGGCTCAACCCCAGGACCCTCGGATCATGACCTGAGCTGAAGGCAGACCCTTAACCGACTGAGCCACCCAGGTGCCCCAAATCCTTCTTTTTAAAAGGAATTTTTCATCTTACTTTCTCTATCACTACATTTTCAAATAAGCTTATATTGTCAAATAACCTAATTTAGTTTATTTGAAATAGGCTATAAGAAACTGAGTATTATATACTATTATATAATTACCTTGGTAGTAAGTAAAGTATTGTAGCTCATCTGTAAAGATATTTGGAATGGAGATATTTACAAATTGCTGTCATAATTTCATTTAAGTTATGATTTTTTAAATATCTAAAGAAATGTACAATAAAGATGAAATTTGAACATTGATTTTACTTAGAATACCAGATTAAATATTTGAGATGTTCTCATAGGAATAAATTTAACTATTTATTGTTCAGCTTTCCACAAAAGTTTATTTTATAAATTTTATTATGCCTAACGATGTGCCCCATTATTATATGGCATAGCAAAGGAATTCTATGTCCAAAACGACACAGGAAATTTGTAATTCAGCCTTTTTTTTGCAATTACTGTCATTTTTTAAAAAATATAAATGTATTCCCTATGTTGAAGTATTATCTCAGTTATGTTCTGGTGTGCTGAGTACCTACCTCACTTAACTACCTTATTATTCATTCTTTGGCTTTAATATTTTCATTTTATTTTCAGATATATCAGTATATCTGTTAAAGTCGCTAAACCTCTGTAGTTCTCCTGCTTCTGCACCTAACAGCATTTTTCTTATAAACTTTTAGCAGATGTTCTTTGATACAGTAGTTGGTAATGGTGACTGGGTTAAAATATACAGCTGACCTTTGATTTCTGAAATGTTGACAGGGGAAACAATATAATGCTGCTCTCCTTCTACCTTCAGGTTTTGTTCTAATACCTAGATTTTGGGGGAAGTTTTCTCTCCCTTTTTCCAGGTCGCTCTTTCTGTTGAGAATCTAATTTAAGCTACAGTTCATGAGAAAACAAGTTTAGGAATGACAAAATGAAACTTAATCTTGCCATTTTACTTAAATTCTCAGTTTCTAAGTAATACAGTGTAAGGGATAACCTGTCAGTTCACAAATATCTTACATGAATTCATCAAAAACTTATTTAAACTTCTAACCCATGCCCTGGTACATATTATTACCTTCATTTCATTTAAGTAATGCAGAAATTAAAAAAGAAAACAATTTTTATGGACTGCCGAGGATCATAACATATATCTTAAGATGATTGCCTATCATAAACTTAATATGACCAGAAAAGAAAATTGGACCCGCTGCCTTAATAGTATCATCATGTTCCAGGTCCTTGGAGTCAGGAAGGTGTTTTTAAATGTGTTTAAACTAAATTCCTTTTTCTGTAATCTCATTTTAATAGCTTTATCCAACCCATTGTGTTCCTTTGTATATTTGAAAGATTGTATGGGCTTATAGTACAATGTTCTATTCTATCCTTTTTATTGTAGAGATGAGAAAATGAATGCCTAAGTAGTGTAGGGTCTTGCCCAGAACCACATCTTCTTAGTTACACAGTCCAGACTGTGAATATCTGTCTTATAATTCCCTTTTACTAATTATTGTCCCCTTTTGTTTTTCCTCTTCTAACATTTCAGTGTTTTGTTCATTTTCCCTACTTTCCTTTGTTAATAAGTTCTCAAAAATACACAAACTCAACTTTCATCTGTAATATTAGGGAGATACTGGTTGGTTAATAAATTGTATTAGTTAAATAAATTTTATTAGTTTTATTATAGCAATAACAAGTGATATATTGTAGGATCTAGCTTCATCAGAAATCACACTCAAAAATGACATATGTTCCAAACTTTTGCTTTAAGACAGAAAACTTAACTTTCCCCATTGGAATTGTAATAATAATTTTTCAATTATTTCCATGCACGAGGTTTTGCTAATGTCTCCTCCTTTGCCCAGAAATTTTGCCAGATTGCTAAGGAAAGCATATATAAAACATTTGTTCAGTTAGAATAACCCAAACAGTAAAATTTGTTATAAATATATCTCTGGCAAACACTTATTGATAATCATCCTAGGTTTTATTTAATGGTTTTTAAATGTTCTTTTCCCAGGAAATATTAGTCACTATTATGACCTTAATATCAGTACTCTTAACTTCTAGATGTTTACTTGTTCAATTTTATGAAAGCATTGAACTTAAATTATTTTGTAAAAATAGCTTCAAGAAGAATAAGTAAAGGCATATATAGAGTGTAAAACCAAAACACACATTTTTAACTTCTTTCAAACAAAGTATCAGGCATTGGACACAGGAGCATTAAATGAGAAATATTGAGCAAATTATAGTTTATTGAAAGACTTGTAGAATTTTGTAATACTAAGAATGGTTTGTAAGCATTCTGGTTTAGGTGTTCTTTATTGCTAACTGATTTTTTATATATTATTTCAGGCACCTCAAACATAATCCTTAGAGTAGTCACTGTTAAAATATAGAAGCTTGAGACTTTTGATACTCTTCAAGTTTTCCAAAAGTAAGAAAAAGTCAGCTGGGTTTTTTTTTGCACTCTTGTAATAATGAAGATTTCCTTCATTGCCTTATACTAACTACACGTAAAGGTTGTTACCAACTCTACTGACATTATCTCCCTAATCTTTCATAAATTTAAAAACTGGCGAAGAGAAGTAAAAGAGGTGTCCTACCGGTTAACAAAACCTAATGTGTTTACCTCCCTCCCACTTTTCTCTAGAAAAAACAGAAAAACATTTTAAGAATAGGAATCCAGAATCTTGGTTCACCTTTGTGGGGAGATGACATTTGCTGTACAGAAAACTGTGACAACAGCCACAGCCTTACGAAGTTCCTGTATGTTCTCCGTGGTCTTCTACGAACCTCTCTTTCAGCCTGTATCATCACAATGCCAACACATCTTATCCAGGTACGAATTGTTCCAAACGTTCTTTCCTCTAACTAGTGTGACATAATGAAGTGCAATATATAAATGCTTTATGAGTCTGAGTCTGATAAGTTATTTTCATATGCCATTTAAGTAAAACAGATTTCAGAAATGCCAGAGAGGAAAATGTCTTTTACTTTAGATTGTTAAATTGTTGTGTATTTGTGGTTTTAATATACAGTGAGTGTATGTTAAGTCCATCTTTAATAATGTTATTATTTTTTTCTTTGATTTCTTGTAAACATATAATATCATTATGACATAAGGTTGATTTTTACTGATTTTATCTTTTCATTAATCATAAAGCTGATCTGAACGTAGGTCTTAAAGAAATATTTCGGGCGCCTGGGCGGCTCAGTCGTTAAGCGTCTGCCTTCGGCTCAGGTCATGATCCCAGGTTCCTGGGATCGAGTCCCACATCGGGCTCCCCGCTCCGCGGGAAGCCTACTTCTTCCTCTCCCAGTCCCCCTGCTTGTGTTCCTGCTCTCGCTATCTCTCTCTGTCAAATAAATAAAATCTTTAAAAAAAAAAAAAAAAGAAATATTTGTACACCTATGTTCTTAGCAGCATTATTTATAATAGCTAAAATGTGGAAGCAATCTGAGAATCCATTAACAGATGAATCCATAAGCAAGATGTGGCCTATATTGCAATGGAATATTATTCAACCTTGAAAAGGAAGGCAATTCTGACATACGCAGCAACACTGATGAATCTTAAGGACATTATCCTAAGTGAAATAAGTCAGTCACAAAAAGACAAATACTGTGATTCCATTTACATGAGGTACTTAATGTATTAAAAATCATAGAGACCAACGGTAGTATGGTGGTTGCCAGGGTCTGGGGGGAAGAGGGAATGGCAAGTTATTATTTAATAGGTACAGAGTTTCAGTTTTACAAAATGAAAACAGGTCTGGAAATTGTTAGTGGTGATGGTAGCATAACATTATGAATGTATTTAATATCACTGAACTGTACACTTAAAAATGGTTAAAATGGTAAATTTTACATATCTTTTTCCACGTTCAAAATTTTGAAGGAAAAAAGTTGATCTGAATAGGACAAGTCCCCTTCTTCCCTTACTGTTTCTGTGTATAAATCTCCTGAAGGTACACTCTCAGGAAAACAGGTCAGTCCTCCCCAGATAGAAAAATAGGGATCTTTGCAAGATTTTCCTCAATGGCTCAAAAAGTCCTTTTCTTAAGAATGTTCAAGAGGGGGGCACCTGGGTGGCTCAGTCGTTAAGCGTCTGCCTTCAGCTCAGGTCATGATCCCGGAGTCCTGGGATCTAGTCCCGCTTCAGGCTCCCTGCTCCGCAGGAAGCCTGCTTCTCCCTCTCCTACTCCCCCTGTTTGTGTTCCCTCTCTCTCTCTGTCTCTCTCTGTCAAATAAATAAATAAAATCTTAAAAAAAAAAAAAAAAAAAGAATGTTCAAGAGGCTGGGGTGCCTGGCTGGCTCAGTCAGAAGAGCACGCAACTCTTGATCTCAGGGTCATGAGTTCAAACCCCACATTGGGTATAGAGTTACTTAAATAAATAAAATTTTTAAAAAAACTTTATTTTCTCTTTTTTTATTTCATTTTTTTCCCTTGAGAGAGAGTGGGCAAGGGGTGTGGAGGGTGGAGGGGCAGAGGAAGAGGGAGAGAGAAAATCCTAGGCAGTCTCCATGCTCAGCACGGAGCCCAATGCAGAACAGTCTCATGACCCTGAGACCATGACCTGAGCCAAAATCAAGAGTCGGACGTTCAACCCACTGAGCCACCCAGGTGCCCTCTCAAAAAAAATTTTTTAAAAAGAGTGTTCAAGAGGCAAGTTTGGGACAATTTTCATCATTATTATTATTGTACAAGTAATAGAGAAACTAGAATTACATCATATATTTTTCCATGGTATTACTATATACATATATATATATATACTAGAAATAAAAAATTGGCTGCAATGAATGGAATGTGAAAATCAAAATAAGCAAAATCACTGAAATCATTTTTTCTAATGTACATACTAAAACACTATGAGGGAAAGGGGGGTAGGGGATGGGTGGCTGGGTGATGGACATTGGGGAGGGTATGTGTTGCGGTGAGTGCTGTGTATTGTGAAAGACTGATGAATCACAGACCTGTGTCCTGAAACAAATAATACATTATATGTTAATAATAAAAAATTTTTTTAAAAACACTATGATTTAAAATGACATTTATAGCAGAAGAGTTTTGAGTTTTGTTTTCCTTTACTTCTCTAGGAAGTGATAATAATAGCAATAATGATAACAGCTAATAAATATAAAACACTTAAAGTCAGGATCTAATGGTTTTATAAATTTTTATATAACTACTGTTACAATCTCCATTTTACACATAAGGAAACTGAAGTACACAAAAATTAAGAAACTAGATGAATGTTCAGTGAGAAACCATGATTTGAACCCAGAAAATGGATTCCAGAACCACATACTAGAATATGTAACAGGTTTTTATTCTAGAACTCATTCAAAGCTAGTAAATCTCATATCTTTTATCTTAGAGCTAGAAATGACATGGGGCTCATCTGTGGTAGGCTCCTGCCTTTGGACAAGTAAAGCATTATCCCTATTTTGCGACTGAGGTCCGAACGGAAATGACATGTTCAAGCAAATCACAGAAACCAAGACTGTACTTGGTGAGATTACATGGTTCTATGCAAACTCTACATTTAACTACATTAACAGAAATATGAGATATAATTGAAATTTGGAGTTTGCCAAAGAGATAAAGAAATACCATTTTAACATGCTGTATCTAAACATACTGTATAAGGGTTAAAGCTGAGACTTTGTTAAGGACCCATGTGAAGTTTGTGAAACATAAATCCTTCATGAGGATTCCTTCATGAGCTTTCCTTCAATGTATAGGAAAAGGTTCATATTTTCCTTTAAGATAAAGTCACTATTTTAAGTGATTATTTAAGCATTTTAAGATAGTCTGATATAGCACTGTATTCCTTCCTGCACAAGTGGAGAGAGAAGTGTAATTGACAGTGTACCCCCATACATTGTCAGTGACTTGTGCTTTTGAGCTTTCTGAGGGTTACCATAGCAACTTTCTACTGTTCAAGTTAGCATTCCTCTTCGATAATTACAAACTTTTAGCAAAATAAAAATTAATTCTTAATCAAAAAGAAATTTTGACTTTTCACATCAAGATTTCTTTTTTTTTTAAGTAAATACATGGGGCTCAAACTCACAACCCCAAATTGATATCAAGAGTTGCATGCTGTCCCAACTGAGCCAGCTAGGTGCCTCTCAACATCAAGATTTCTTAAATCCAAATATTTCCCTCTCAACAAATTGGGGAGAAAAATCTGCATTTCTTATAAATTTAGTTATTGAAGCTGTGTTTTACTATTTTATTCATTCACTCATTTTTTCTACACTGTTTTTGAGTGACTGGTAATACTGTAGCCCACTTTATATATCAGTGAAATTTTTAAAAATTGAACAAGATACTGGTTCCTTTCAGAGACCTTACTCTCTAGTTGGGAGATAAACATTAAAAACTTGTGTTACAATCTGAAAATGAAGTTAAGGAAACAGTTGCATTCATAACAGCACCAAAAAGAATAAAATACTTAGGAATAATTTTCACAAGGAAAATGTAAAACCTATACTCTGAAAACTATAAAACATTGTTGAAAGAAATTTTTAATGATCTGAATGAATGGAAAAACTTCTGAGGTGCATGGATCAGAAGGTTCAAAATGAATATGACCATAGTCTCCAAACTCATCTACAGATCCAATGCAGTCTTTATCAGAATTCCAGTTGACTTTTTGGGAGAAATTTGCAAGCTGATTCTAAAATGGCTATGGAATTTTAGAGGACTTAGAATAACCAAAATAATCCTATAAAGGAATAAAGTAGGAGGGCTCATATTTCTCAATTGCAAAATTTACTATAAAACAATGGTAAAAGGCAGTGTAGTACTCTCATAAAATAGGCATAAAAATCAATGGAATAGAATTGAGAGTTTAGAAATAAATCCATACAGTCAATTGATTTCAACAAGGGTGCCAAGACCATTCAATAAGAAAAGAATCATCTTTTTTAACAAATGGGATGGGACAACTAGATAGCCACATGAGCAAAAGAATGAAGTTGGACTATTACCCCACAGCATGCACAAAAATTAATTCAAATGGATCGAAGACCTAAATGTAAGAGCCAAAACTATTAAACTCTTAGAAAAAAACTTAGGGAAAAATCTTTATAACCTTAGATTTGGCAAAGAATTCTTAGATATGGCACTAAAAGCACAAACAATGAAAAAAAAAATAGACAAAGGGGACTTCATCAAACTTAGAAACTTCTTTTCTTTAAAGTAGCCTCCTGCCCAATGTGGGGCTTGAACTCACAGCCCTCAGATGAAGAGTCACATGCTCTACCAACTGAGCCAGCCATGCACCTCAAAATTAAAAACTTTTATGTTCAAAGGACACCATCAAGAAATCATAATGATAGGTGAAAATATTTACAAGTCATATATCTGATTAGAGATTTGTATCTATAACTCATAAAGAATGCTTTCAACTCAATAATAAAAAGACAATTCAATAAAAAATGGGAAAGTAATTTGAATATACAGTTTCCAAAGAAGATAGACAAATAGCCAGTTAGCACATGAAAGATGCTCAACATCACGAATCATCAAAAATGCAAATCAAAATTACAATGAGATACTACTACTTTACACTATCTAGAATGGGTAAAATAAAAGGTAGCAGTAAATGTTGGCAAGGTGAAGAAATTGGAACCGTCATATTTTGCTGGTGGGAATGTAAAAGGGTACAGCTGCTTTGGAAACAGTCTGGCACTTTTCAGTGATTCAACATAGAGTTATCATATGACCCAGCAATTCCACTCATTAGTATATACCCAAGAGAAATGAGACCCTGTGTCCACATAGAAACATGTGCATGAATGTTTATAGCACCATTATTCATAAG